CGGCAAAGGAGAACAGCAAAGAAGACGATGAAAAACGGTTACAGACAGTTTTTTTATTTTTTTAGAAAATATTTGGAAAGATATGGTGAATATTTACTAACCATATTTCTTAGATTTTAGGATATTTTCGCARAATATATATTCTACCACCCATAGACAAAAGGAAAAAACTGGAAGATGAATTCTACGAATGGTGGATTATAGTAGTTACGGTAGAATATATATCCCGAAAATTGGTAGAATATAGAACAAACATTAGAACCTATATTCTACGGGTGCGTAGATATTCTAATCCGTAGAACCTATATTCTAAATACAGTAGACTCAGACCAATTTGTAGAATATATATTCTACTACCCCGTAGACGGTAGAATTTGATTTCTGAAAAAGGTAGAATAGAAAATTATTTTCAATTCTAACCATATTTTTAAAATAAAAAAAATATACTTATATTCTTCCTAATTACTCTTTTATTGTTTTGAATTTTTTTTAATTTTTTTGGCTGTTAAAACTATTTTAATGATTTATTAGAAATGTCAAAATGACAAATTAGGTAAAAATAGAGAAAGGGGTAGTAGGACAAAATAAAATCAAATTTGACCCATTTATACAATTTTCCCAAAAAAAAAAAGCAAAAATTTAAAGAATATACCTAAACTAAAATCGAACCAAACTAGCGCCCACAACAAAGATAATTCAGTTTGTTCGGATATCTGTTCGATTGTTAATATCCAAATCGAAAACGAAAATTTTATAAGCGATCTAATCGGTTAGTTTTGGCTATTATGTCTACTGGATGATATGTCATTATGTCTACGTTATATCTGTTGTAACTTGTAAGATAACGTATATTCGTATAAGATAATAGAGGATTGTAGAAGATGATGTTTAAAAATATAGAAATATAAGAGAAGATATAACCAATCATCGGGCTTCTGTCTTCATTTGATGAATCGTCAAATAAGTTATAATCCAATAATAATACTCTTTAATTAAGACATCCATGAAATTATGGATAATTACAACTTTTTTTGTTAAAGAAAGCCCTAGAAAAAAGGAATAAAACCGCCGACTAAAGAAATTTAACTTTCAACTTTTTTTGTTAAAGAAATTTAACTTTCAACTTGATCATGTAAGTTTTAAGAAAAAAACTTGATCATGTATATTTCTCTTACTATATGTCAAAATTTCAACTTGATGTATATTTTTCTAATTATAGTCAGGATAAAAATTCCGGATCGGATTAACATTATCCTAAAAATTATCTATTTTCTGTTATTGTTTTCTCCTCATTCTTCGCCTATATAAACATTACAGCAAACTACTATATCCACTTATCAAATTCTTTCCTTCTTCAAGTTATAACTATTACTCACACCAAAACAACAAAAAATAGCAAACACCACTCAGTTCCCTTAGTCTTTGGATCAATGGGTGTTTCAAATATTGTTTCTGTTTTATTATTGCTTGTATTAATCAATTTAAGCAATCTTAATATCAAAGGCATTGATGCTTTTCACCAGATTTACGAAAAATTGCAATCTCAATCAGTGGAGTCAGTGAATCATCTTCATAGAACTGGATTTCACTTTCAACCTCCAAAGCATTGGATTAACGGTACACTGATCTGATCTCCCTCTCTTTCAAATATAATTTAGTGAGAAAATATTTGTTTCTTAATTAGATTTTGGTTTTCACGTCTAGTTTTAATATTTCTGTTAATTTTTTGTTCTGATATGAAAGTTGATTTTATTTCGAAGTTATTTGCATAGCCTGAAAAAGGTCTTCAATTCTAATTCATTTTCTGGTTATAGTTTGTTTGAC